ATAAAAAAGGAACTCAAAACTTAAAATTGAAAATCGAAATACAAACCAAACCGACTTTGATCTTTTCATTGGAGTAGCTCGCAACTCAAGTGACGTAATTGATATTGCAGCGACAAAATGGTCCACTACTAAGAGTTGACTTTCTTATTAGGAAAAATTTCATGGTTGGTCCCGAATCTATTTTCTCACTACTGAGTTGGTACTCAATAAATTAATTCTTAATTTTTCTTATAACTACAAGATCAATATACAGTATAAATTTTTCTTAAGAGACTCTTCAAATGTAAGATGTTATCTATTTTAGAGAGTTCATCCCTAAAATTATGCTTCAATAGACTATTTTGAACTTTTTAGAGCATATTTAAAATACTCTTTATTTACAAAGAATATTTTTAAATTTAGAGAATAAAATTTTTATATAGTCCAATAATGTTCTATATTTTAGTTGTTCATTTTGCTTTTTCAATAAACATTTATTATTTTTCCATTATCTTTAGCCCCTGTTCAATGGCCATTATTTTGAGAAAAAAAAATGATGTTTTGAGTAGTTATTTATTTATTTTGGAAAATGTATGGTTAAAAATAGAAAAATTTTAGGATTTACATGCAAAATATTTTATTATATGAATATGTTATTGAAAATAAGTATGAGAATTAAAGAGTTTTATTTTAAAGTTTGACAAACATGTGCTAATATATTTTATAGAAACAATCAATCAATTCAATTCAATTATGATTTGTATAATCTAAAAGTAAAATATTGTAATATGTTACTTATTAAATACAATCATTATAAAGTAATAATAGCAAGCGGATTTGGCTCTTCTCACTCTCTACTATAAAAAGTGAAAATGGAGTGTCTTTTGAATCTTATTTCTAAGCATTATCTTCCCGAAATAGATAATCGGTATGACTCTTCAAATTAAAATCATATATATATATAAACTGCTTGGTACAAGATATTATTTATTTTGGAGAGTCAGTACATAAATCACCTCATAGAATAAAAAGAGCATTTTTAAATTTAGAGAGTAATTATTACATTCTAATAATATTCTCTTAGAAAGCCATTCTTTATATAAATAAAAAGTCTCTTACCAATATTATTAGAAAGTTGGATATTGTAATGAATACATTTTCTAAGTTGCAAATTTCAACACCCAATTTCTTAAATTATTCAAAACATCTTTGACCTTATTGGCCATTGACATTTAAAATACATTTTTTTAATTAAGAAGAGGAAAACAATAAATATTTTTGAAAAGGTTAAATATATAGCTAAAATAAAGAGGTTATTGGTGTGTAAAAAGCTATACTCTTTAAATTTGAAAATGTTCTTGATTATGTACAAGATACTAGTTAATTCTCCCTTACAAAATGCTCTATATTTTAGATAGACAATACATAAAATAAGTTTTGAAAGATTATCTATTCCGACTTTTACAATAGAGCATATCTATTCTTACTTTATAATGACTAAATTTGATAAATTAATATTATTCAACTCAAATTATTTAAATCATATATTGACTTGATTGTTGATTAATATTTAAAAAATTGATAAATATATTGATCATTAATATTTAAGAAAATATTAAATAAAATATGAAGAGAAATTAATAAATATTTTTTGAGAAAAATAAAATGAAAAACTAAAATAGGGAGCCTTGTTGGAGTATATAATATATATACACACACACACATTTTAAATGTAAATTGTTCTTTATGAATAAATAGTCTTCTAAAGATGCCCTAACAAGGAGCGTCTTTAAATTTAGGTAGAAAAAATGTTTATACATTCTAATAATGTTCTCTACTTTGATTCTTTTATTTTAATTTTTCCAATAAATATTTATTGTCTTTTTCTCATGTTTTTTTGTAACAAATTTTTTATATGTCAATGACCAACGAATTCAATTGTGATTAAGAATAGATACTCAATTTCAAACTTACTCTCTATTTTAAGAATCTTATCTTTATAGTAGAGAATATCTTGTGTTTAGAGAGCTTCTTAAAAATGCTCACATAACATGCTCTTTACAAATAGTCTATTAAAAATGCCCTAAAGTTAAATATCAAATGACAACACGATAAAACTTAATAGAGGTTGGTTTGATCTCCATCGTAAGCGATTAATTGTACAACTATAATAAAATATTAGAGACCAATATGCACCCTTTTAAAGGATTCTACCATCTTACGACTATAATAATAGGTTGAGGGACCAAATTTGCAATTTTCCTTCTCATTGCTGAATAATTCTTCCAGACGGAAAATATCATAGCGTACGTTAGCGTGCCACATTGAGATGACTGCTCACTCATTTATGTTGTTTACTCTCTCTCTCTCTATCTGTCCATCTATCTATCTATCACCTTGATTTCAATATTTTGTGACAAATTTAATTCTTCATTTTTTGAGACCATAGAAAGCATAAAAATTGGTTGATTGTCTACGGTTCTTTAAATTACCTCTCATCACTTAATTTGTCGAAATTACCTCTGTTTTTCTCAATTCAGTTTTTTGCAGTTTGATTACAATTTCAGCTCTCTCTACCATACTATCAGCAAGTGTAAGCATCATAGTTGTATTTGCTTTAATGTTTGATTATTTCTTGCGCTTTTTGATTCCTGTGCTGTTCTATGTCTCTTTTAAAAGGAAATTGAAATCAAGGGATTTTTTTTCCCTTTTTGTTTAATTTATTTCTTCACAAAGTTTGAATTTGTAGTCAGAGAACAGAAAACAACTCATCTAGGAATTGGATTTTCTTGTTTCCTTTGATTGAATTCGTAGAAATTTCAGTTTTGGAAATTCAGTGAGGCACTATGTGTTTGTGTATGTGTCAGAAGGTGAATCGAGTTTAATTAGAATTTTTCTTTTGATTGTTATATTTTCGATGATCCTGGATGCTTCTATATTTTTCGTATATTGTTCTCTGGACTCTGATTATAACTATTTCATCAAAAACAATTTCAGATTTTCAACTCTGCTGTTGAAAATGTGAAATCTACTGTTTATCAGCTTTCAAAAAGTAAAAATAAAATGTTTCTTGTGGTTTCGTACACAAATTCTGCCAAGAGCGATTCTAATTTAGTTGGAGGCTTGGAGCTCATACTTTGTTTTCTTCAAAAACTCGGTTTTCTGATATATCTCTTAATTTAATACGTCCTAAGTGAAGTCTATGTTTTTTCGTTTATTGCAGCATCATTAGGGTAGATCATACGTATTGAATATACTTGGATCTGATTTTTCGTCCGGTGGTAATAGTAATTGTTGCTTTTTGCAATTATTGATTTAACTTGGTAATTTTGTTAATATTGCTGTCAAATATTCATTCTCATGCAGCATTCACAGTTAAACTCTTCAAAAATTACATTTTCTTTTCTATCTCATTCTGTGATATTCCATATCTTTTATGACTTGAGTAGCAATATTCCTTAATGATTATGTTGTGGAAACTTTAGGATAATGGCTGGACAAGTTGTCAATAGACCAATGTCTATATGTGACTTTGAAATTGTTGAGAGAGACTCTGGTGGCACTGCTGTAGCGTCTTCTAACCAGATCCATCCTTGGATCGACCCAGCAACAATTAAACTCAAGCACAGGATTGGAAGAGGGCCATTTGGTGATGTTTGGCTGGCGACACATCACCGTGCAACGGAAGACTACGAAGAGTATCATGAAGTGGCTGTTAAAATGTTGCATTCCATTAAAGAAAATGATGTTAAAGATGTCTTGGTAAAGTTGGAGGATTTACTTTCTAAATGTCGGGGTTTAGAAAACGTCTGCTGGCTGCATGGACTTTCCGTTATAACTAAGAAAGTGAGTAGCTTGTTCAATTTTTTTTTTTACAATGCTGAGAATCTGGATATCTTTCCTCTGATTTTTAGAAAAAAAGGGGAAAATAAATAAACAAATTCCAGCAACCCTTCTTCTGAATTCTCTATATTTCGTTCTAGATATGCATTGTTATGAAATTTTATGAGGGCTCAGTTGGGGACAAAATGGCTCGCCTCAAAGGGGGGAAGCTCTCGATGAGTGATGTTTTGAGGTGATTTTTACTTAATGTATCTGAGAAACACATCGATGAATACTTTTCTCTAGTTAAATGATTTTGTTGAATAAAATGCTTGCAATCTTCATGATGTTGTTATGTTCACAGGTATGGAGCAGATTTGGCTCAAGGAGTAATGGACCTACACTCCAAGGAAATTCTTATTCTTAATCTTAAACCTTTTAATTTCCTTTTGAATGAAAATGACCGGGCGATTCTTGGAGACATAGGAATTCCTTATGTGTTACTTGGCGTTTCTCTGCCAAGTATTGATATGATTCGGAGACTTGGTACTCCTAACTACATGGCTCCAGAACAATGGCAACCCGATATTATTGGTCCTCTATCCTTTGAAACCGATTCATGGGGGTTTGGTTGCAGCATAGTCGAGATGTTGACTGGCATTCAGCCTTGGAGTGGTAAATCAATTGATGAGATACACAAACTGGTAGTAAAGAAGCAAGAAAAACCACATATACCCAGTGGGCTCCCTCCTGCTGTTGAGAATGTCATTATTGGTTGTTTTGAGTATGACTTCATGAGTCGCCCCATGATGTCAGACATATTACAAGCATTTAAAAGGTATTCTTATTCCTTCTTCATATATATGTTTCATTAAGAAAAAAAAATTGAACTATTATAGAGGAATATGTAGGTTGCTGTGCATTTAGTTCACGGTTTGGTCATCTTACTGGACATTAAAATGGAAATGGAAAGAAATTCTTTGTAGTGGGAAGAAATAGTGTCCCATGGTATCAAATGCTTATAATTTGTAGAACTTAACAAGGAAAAGAAAATACCAAGATGTTTACTAACAAAATCTACAAATGCCAGCCGAACTCATTGTTTTGATATCTTGACCATTAAACACTTTTAGTTCTGCACTATCTTTCAGATACTGAATTCTTCAGGCTGCAAGTGGCTTGTGCATATATTCTTAAAATAACTCACATTGTTACCAATTTGCAGCTCACAAAATGCAGTTTACCAGGATGGAGGCTGGACAGGTCTTGGAAGTATAATTATAAGAGAAAAACAAGGTGGTGGTAATTATACTGAGTGGTTCCTTGCGAAGGATCATCTGCAAGTGGGTGACATGGTACGATCTAGAAAGTTACCAAACTCGTGCAAACCTGAAAACATGGATGTACCGGAGGGAAGTGTAGTTGAAATTTGGCGATGTTATGTTTGATACCACGTACCTGACAAACAAGTATGATATACTTTTCGCCCCGTTTATTGGCGTTAATTATCACGGACAATCAATATTGTTTGGTTGTGGTTTGTTGTCGAATGAAGATACAAATACTTTTGTGTGGTTGTTCAAGACATGGATACAATTTATGCATGTTCACGCGCTTCATGAAATAATTACCGATCAAGATAGAGCGATGCAAAATACAATTCAAATTGTTTTTCCAAACACAAGGCATAGATGATATTTGTGGCATATTTTAAAGAAATTGCCTGAAAAGTTTGGATACCACAACAACTTTTCAATATTTAGGGCTATACATGTATTAGTTTATGATTCTCAATTTGTTTAAGAATTTGAAAATGTGTGGGTTGCAATGATTGAAAAGTATAGCTTGCAGGATAATGATTGGTTATCTGGCCTATACGAGAACAAAAGTCGTAGGATTCCATGTTTTTTGCAGACCACTTTTTGGACAGGGATGTCAATAGCATAAAGAAGTGAGAGTATGAATGCGCTTTTCGATAATTACGTGCATTTCAAGACCTCGCTAAAGCAATTTATAGAACAATATGAACGAGCATTGCAGAACAAGGTTGAGAAGGAGTTACAGGCTGATTTCATATCATTTTCAGTGATGGATCGTGTGCAACATAATATGAAATTGAGCTACAATTTCAGTCAATTTACACCATTGCAAAATTTAGGGAAGCTCAGGATGAGTTCACGAGAAGGATTATTGTGATGTCATACCTACTTTGGAGGGAAACTTGTCAACGACGTACGAGGTATGGGAGGATGTTATGCATAATGGGCGATGAAAGAAAAAAAAAATTCGTCTCATTTGAGAGAGAGAATTGTGACATTCTTTGTAGCTGCCATTTGTTCGAGCTTCGGGGAATTATTTATCACCATTCGATTGCATTATTGATTTGTTGTAATGTCGCTTCACTTCCAGATAGGTACATACTGTAGAGATAGAGAAGAGATGTTAGTAGAGCACACATGAGAGCTGCAGTGAACTACGATGGTTAGATTAGTTCTCCAAAGCAGTTGATATACGACAAATTGTGTCGTGAGTTTGTGTAAGTGGCGGGCCTTGCTACAGATGATGAAGGGCAGTCGCGTGTGATACTGGACTAGATAAAACTTCAATGCAAAGAACTTTTGATGTCAAAAAGGTCATATAGTGGAAGTAATGTGATCTCGCAACATATTATTCATGTAGCTGATTAGTATATCAATTTGTAGAATGATGTCAGCGTGAACATACGAGATCCGAAATTGCCGCGTAGACAGGGGTGCCCAACAAATTGAGGAAAAAAATTCGTTGGAGTTGAGTTCAAAGACCGCAAAAATAAATTTCATTTGCATAATTTAAACAACAAACATTTAAAAAGAAATTGTACTAAATACTTTAGATGCACATATAGAGAAGTTCGGCATCTACCAAAGGAAAGAGACCTACCGCATGACATATTGATATGCAAGAGAGCGCCGTGGACGTTCATAAAGCTCAGCAACAATACTACTCAGTGCGGCCACCACTCTCTTGTCTACAATATTTGATGCCGACAACATTCCCATTCTCACAGTATACCATCACGACACCATTCTCACATTCATAGGTATTACCTTCGTCAAATTACATCCCTGCATCATCATCAAATGTTATATATAGTTCTCAAGGTATGCTCGCACGGTCAATATGTTAAAGATAAATTCTTGATGTTATTTAAAATATGCAACTAATAATGTCCATATTGTATTGTAGGCCAACCAATGCCGTACTATTATCCATATTTATCAGACTCTTGAGAATTAGGTTTGTGTAATGGATTATGATGACAAATATTTCTGTCACTAATAGCTATCTCATTGGGAGATAGTGCATTTGTTTTTTTTTTTTTTTTCCCAGGTGGAGCATTGTAAGAGGCAGGTGCATAGACGGGTTGGCAGTTACTTGGTCACTGCTCCTACAATTTACTGATAATGAACATATCTTCAGCAAGCAATTAGGCTTGGTGCTTCCGGTTGTTGTCCCTGCCATATAATATGGCTCGCTGATTTTGGTTGCTACCTCTACCACTAGAATTGCTGCTGCTGCTGTTAAGATTTGCTGCTTCTGTCTTCTACAATTAGTTCTGCAGGATGTTGATATGACCACCAAAGTTGTTGTTTCTATGTATACAACCTGCTCTCTTTTGCTGCTTCCTCATTCCTTACTTGTTTCCTGGGAATATTTGTGTACAATCTATTATATTTAATTCAAGAAATGCCTCTCTCTAGTTTTGATTTGGGCACAATTCTATTTTGAGTCACCTCTTTAAATTCTAGAATGATTTTGATGGTTACCTGGTTACTTCTGCCACTAGTTGCCGATAATATATGATTAGGCTTGCTGATTCCAATTGTTGCTTCTGACATACAACCATAAATGGATGCCGCTTTCGCCTTCTGCAATTTGTGTCATTAGTGCTTGCGTGTGTATAACCTGCTTCCTCATTCTTGCTTGTTTATACTATTCGTTGTGCCTCCGATTTACACTAAACTTTGTCGGATTGCACTTTGGAGTAATTTCTCAGGAGTATTTTTGGGTTCATCTCTGCTTTTGGTTTTGGTCAAGCAAGAATGGCAGATGACTTATTTGTAGACTACAATTGTTTGTAGTTAATGTAACACTTGCTTACTGTCATAGCCTTTGTCCACTTAGTTAGCTTGTGATAGCTGGGTCCGTCTACTGCTAAGGTTTGTAACTGATGGTTAGTGTTGATATTGGTGCTATTCACGGTTGAAAGCTTATTTGTAGATCAAGAATTTATCTTACAATGTTCAATTAATTTTCTTCAACATCACTGAGGTCTCCAGCACCTTTCCTTAGACTCAAATGCAATTATAATTTCCATCATACAGGATAATGCTTCACCGAGTACAATAGTGGCAATCCTATCTTCAAAATATTATACATTCCTAATCCATCTCAATCAGTAGATAATACTTAAACAAGAGTCATTAGAATTACTACATGAAGACACCGATAGCTAAGGCGAGATAATGCTATATATACAAAAGTAATGTCAAAAACCAAGGGCAAATTTTGCCGGCCGGTGAGGGTGAACCGGGAGCTGGTTAAACTTAGATGGAAGAGACAACACCAAGCGTGGTTGGAAATGGTGAGGCGATGGCCAAACCACAGATGGAAGTGCTGTCGGAGCGCCTACGGTATTTGTTTGAAGTGCGGCCGGAGATGGTGAGGCTTAGGTTTCAATTTGGGAAATTTGATTTGGAAGAATGCTTAGGGTTCAATTTGGAAGAAGAACCTTCTGTAGGAGAAAATGGTACGTTTTCGTCTTCAATCATGCTGTTTTTGACACGTCAATCGAGAAATTAAATCTGACAGCTATTCTTATTTGTGTAGCGGGGATCATAATGTTATTGTATTTAGACCTAGTTTGTTTTTCATTTTTTTAAGAATGAAAATGAAAAATATAATTTTTATCGATCTATATAAAGATAAAAATTTAAATTTGATGACTTGATATGATGAATAATGATCATATTTTTCATTTTAATAAAAAAAAATAAAAAACGAACAGGAGTTTAATAAATCTTCTTGAACAAGGCCATATAGGCCCTGTCTAAATAGGGGGGACACTGTGGCATGATTTGAAATATCTTTTATTTTCCCAACTAAATTCGTATAGCACAAGTTTACGTGTCTTAAATAACATCATCTTATTGTGTGGATGCTTTTTCGTCGTCTAAAACTTAATTTTCCAGGATAATATATGGTGAGAACTATTTTAAATAGTTTTTTTTTTTTTGTCACATTATTATTATTTATTTGTACTTTCATTTTAATCAAATTTCTCTATTGCAGTTTGACAAACAAAATAATAGCGTACATGTTATTTGTTTTACTATATTTAGTCCTTGTTTATCTTCAATTAAAAAGAGTTTTTCGAGGAAAATGAATTTTGGAATAGTAATTTTTTGGAGATTGTATGGTTAAAAAGTATGAAAATTTTGAATTTATATGTAAAATATTTTAGTTTATGAATGTATGTTTGAAAGTGAATTTAAAAAACTTAGGATATATTTTGTTTGTTGTTTTTAAGTTGTTTTCAATTTTGTAAAACACTAAAAATGTATTTAGTGTTATATTTCTGAAAATGTATATTAAAAAACAAGAATAAATTTATAACATAAAATTCAAAAAGAACTTTTGAAGTTTAAAATTCTAAAAAAATTAAATTTAAAAAACCAAAAAATAAAACTATAAAAATCTAGAAAAATAAATAAATAAAAAAAAGTTCTAATTAATGATTATCTACATAAAAATTTTAAAAAATATTTAAATAAAAACAGACAAAAGTATTATTAATATATATAATACTTAACAATATATTAACTTAACTTTTACTGAATAGTCAAATTTAATGAAATAAAATGTAAAAAATAATTTTTCAAATCAAAAGTGTTTTCTAATTTTTAGTTTTGAGAAATAATTTTTTTCAAAATAGCAAATCAAATGCATTTTTTAAAATCTTAAAAATTAAAATAGATATTCAAAACATAAAATAAAAAAGGAACTCAAAACTTAAAATTGAAAATCGAAATACAAACCAAACCGACTTTGATCTTTTCATTGGAGTAGCTCGCACCTCAAGTGACGTAATTGATATTGCAGCGACAAAATGGTCCACTACTAAGAGTTGACTTTCTTATTAGGAAAAATTTCATGGTTGGTCCCGAATCTATTTTCTCACTACTGAGTTGGTACTCAATAAATTAATTCTTAATTTTTCTTATAACTACAAGATCAATATACAGTATAAATTTTTCTTAAGAGACTCTTCAAATGTAAGATGTTATCTATTTTAGAGAGTTCATCCCTAAAATTATGCTTCAATAGACTATTTTGAACTTTTTAGAGCATATTTAAAATACTCTTTATTTACAAAGAATATTTTTAAATTTAGAGAATAAAATTTTTATATAGTCCAATAATGTTCTATATTTTAGTTGTTCATTTTGCTTTTTCAATAAACATTTATTAATTTTCCATTATCTTTAGCCCCTGTTCAATGGCCATTATTTTGAGAAAAAAAAATGATGTTTTGAGTAGTTATTTATTTATTTTGGAAAATGTATGGTTAAAAATAGAAAAATTTTAGGATTTACATGCAAAATATTTTATTATATGAATATGTTATTGAAAATAAGTATGAGAATTAAAGAGTTTTATTTTAAAGTTTGACAAACATGTGCTAATATATTTTATAGAAGTCAACAATCAATCAATTCAATTATGATTTGTATAATCTAAAAGTAAAATATTGTAATATGTTACTTATTAAATACAATCATTATAAAGTAATAATAGCAAGCGGATTTGGCTCTTCTCACTCTCTACTATAAAAAGTGAAAATGGAGTGTCTTTTGAATCTTATTTGTAAGCATTATCTTCCCGAAATAGATAATCGGTATGACTCTTCAAATTAAAATCATATATATATATAAACTGCTTGGTACAAGATATTATTTATTTTGGAGAGTCAGTACATAAATCACCTCATAGAATAAAAAGAGCATTTTTAAATTTAGAGAGTAATTATTACATTCTAATAATATTCTCTTAGAAAGCCATTCTTTATATAAATAAAAAGTCTCTTACCAATATTATTAGAAAGTTGGATATTGTAATGAATACATTTTCTAAGTTGCAAATTTCAACACCCAATTTCTTAAATTATTCAAAACATCTTTGACCTTATTGGCCATTGACATTTAAAATACATTTTTTTAATTAAGAAGAGGAAAACAATAAATATTTTTGAAAAGGTTAAATATATAGCTAAAATAAAGAGGTTATTGGTGTGTAAAAAGCTATACTCTTTAAATTTGAAAATGTTCTTGATTATGTACAAGATACTAGTTAATTCTCCCTTACAAAATGCTCTATATTTTAGATAGACAATACATAAAATAAGTTTTGAAAGATTATCTATTCCGACTTTTACAATAGAGCATATCTATTCTTACTTTATAATGACTAAATTTGATAAATTAATACTATTCAACTCAAATTATTTAAATCATATATTGACTTGATTGTTGATTAATATTTAAAAAATTGATAAATATATTGATCATTAATATTTAAGAAAATATTAAATAAAATATGAAGAGAAATTAATAAATATTTTTTGAGAAAAATAAAATGAAAAACTAAAATAGGGAGCCTTGTTGGAGTATATAATATATATACACACACACACATTTTAAATGTAAATTGTTCTTTATGAATAAATAGTCTTCTAAAGATGCCCTAACAAAGAGCGTCTTTAAATTTAGGTAGAAAAATTGTTTATACATTCTAATAATGTTCTCTACTTTGATTTTTTTATTTTAATTTTTCCAATAAATATTTATTGTCTTTTTCTCATGTTTTTTTGTAACAAATTTTTTATATGTCAATGACCAACGAATTCAATTGTGATTAAGAATAGATACTCAATTTCAAACTTACTCTCTATTTTAAGAATCTTATCTTTATAGTAGAGAATATCTTGTGTTTAGAGAGCTTCTTAAAAATGCTCACATAACATGCTCTTTACAAATAGTCTATTAAAAATGCCCTAAAGTTAAATATCAAATGACAACACGATAAAACTTAATAGAGGTTGGTTTGATCTCCATCGTAAGCGATTAATTGTACAACTATAATAAAATATTAGAGACCAATATGCACCCTTTTAAAGGATTCTACCATCTTACGACTATAATAATAGGTTGAGGGACCAAATTTGCAATTTTCCTTCTCATTGCTGAATAATTCTTCCAGACGGAAAATATCATAGCGTACGTTAGCGTGCCACATTGAGATGACTGCTCACTCATTTATGTTGTTTACTCTCTCTCTCTCTATCTGTCCATCTATCTATCTATCACCTTGATTTCAATATTTTGTGACAAATTTAATTCTTCATTTTTTGAGACCATAGAAAGCATAAAAATTGGTTGATTGTCTACGGTTCTTTAAATTACCTCTCATCACTTAATTTGTCGAAATTACCTCTGTTTTTCTCAATTCAGTTTTTTGCAGTTTGATTACAATTTCAGCTCTCTCTACCATACTATCAGCAAGTGTAAGCATCATAGTTGTATTTGCTTTAATGTTTGATTATTTCTTGCGCTTTTTGATTCCTGTGCTGTTCTATGTCTCTTTTAAAAGGAAATTGAAATCAAGGGATTTTTTTTCCCTTTTTGTTTAATTTATTTCTTCACAAAGTTTGAATTTGTAGTCAGAGAACAGAAAACAACTCATCTAGGAATTGGATTTTCTTGTTTCCTTTGATTGAATTCGTAGAAATTTCAGTTTTGGAAATTCAGTGAGGCACTATGTGTTTGTGTATGTGTCAGAAGGTGAATCGAGTTTAATTAGAATTTTTCTTTTGATTGTTATATTTTCGATGATCCTGGATGCTTCTATATTTTTCGTATATTGTTCTCTGGACTCTGATTATAACTATTTCATCAAAAACAATTTCAGATTTTCAACTCTGCTGTTGAAAATGTGAAATCTACTGTTTATCAGCTTTCAAAAAGTAAAAATAAAATGTTTCTTGTGGTTTCGTACACAAATTCTGCCAAGAGCGATTCTAATTTAGTTGGAGGCTTGGAGCTCATACTTTGTTTTCTTCAAAAACTCGGTTTTCTGATATATCTCTTAATTTAATACGTCCTAAGTGAAGTCTATGTTTTTTCGTTTATTGCAGCATCATTAGGGTAGATCATACGTATTGAATATACTTGGATCTGATTTTTCGTCCGGTGGTAATAGTAATTGTTGCTTTTTGCAATTATTGATTTAACTTGGTAATTTTGTTAATATTGCTGTCAAATATTCATTCTCATGCTGCATTCACAGTTAAACTCTTCAAAAATTACATTTTCTTTTCTATCTCATTCTGTGATATTCCATATCTTTTATGACTTGAGTAGCAATATTCCTTAATGATTATGTTGTGGAAACTTTAGGATAATGGCTGGACAAGTTGTCAATAGACCAATGTCTATATGTGACTTTGAAATTGTTGAGAGAGACTCTGGTGGCACTGCTGTAGCGTCTTCTAACCAGATCCATCCTTGGATCGACCCAGCAACAATTAAACTCAAGCACAGGATTGGAAGAGGGCCATTTGGTGATGTTTGGCTGGCGACACATCACCGTGCAACGGAAGACTACGAAGAGTATCATGAAGTGGCTGTTAAAATGTTGCATTCCATTAAAGAAAATGATGTTAAAGATGTCTTGGTAAAGTTGGAGGATTTACTTTCTAAATGTCGGGGTTTAGAAAACGTCTGCTGGCTGCATGGACTTTCCGTTATAACTAAGAAAGTGAGTAGCTTGTTCAATTTTTTTTTTTACAATGCTGAGAATCTGGATATCTTTCCTCTGATTTTTAGAAAAAAAGGGGAAAATAAATAAACAAATTCCAGCAACCCTTCTTCTGAATTCTCTATATTTCGTTCTAGATATGCATTGTTATGAAATTTTATGAGGGCTCAGTTGGGGACAAAATGGCTCGCCTCAAAGGGGGGAAGCTCTCGATGAGTGATGTTTTGAGGTGATTTTTACTTAATGTATCTGAGAAACACATCGATGAATACTTTTCTCTAGTTAAATGATTTTGTTGAATAAAATGCTTGCAATCTTCATGATGTTGTTATGTTCACAGGTATGGAGCAGATTTGGCTCAAGGAGTAATGGACCTACACTCCAAGGAAATTCTTATTCTTAATCTTAAACCTTTTAATTTCCTTTTGAATGAAAATGACCGGGCGATTCTTGGAGACATAGGAATTCCTTATGTGTTACTTGGCGTTTCTCTGCCAAGTATTGATATGATTCGGAGACTTGGTACTCCTAACTACATGGCTCCAGAACAATGGCATCCGGAAGTTACTGGTCCTCTATCCTTCGAGACTGATTCATGGGGGTTTGGGTGCAGTATAGTCGAGATGTTGACTGGCATTCAGCCTTGGAGTGGTAAATCAATTGATGAGATATACAAATTGGTTGTAAAGAAGCAAGAAAAACCACATATTCCCAGTGGGCTTCCTCCTGCTGTTGAGAATGTCATTATTGGTTGTTTTGAGTATGACTTCATGAGTCGCCCCATGATGTCAGACATATTACAAGCATTTAAAAGGTATTCTTATTCCTTCTTCATATATATGTTTCATTAAGAAAAAAAAATTGAACTATTATAGAGGAATATGTAGGTTGCTGTGCATTTAGTTCACGGTTTGGTCATCTTACTGGACATTAAAATGGAAATGGAAAGAAATTCTTTGTAGTGGGAAGAAATAGTGTCCCATGGTATCAAATGCTTATAATTTGTAGAACTTAACAAGGAAAAGAAAATACCAAGATGTTTACTAACAAAATCTACAAATGCCAGCCGAACTCATTGTTTTGATATCTTGACCATTAAACACTTTTAGTTCTGCACTATCTTTCAGATACTGAATTCTTCAGGCTGCAAGTGGCTTGTGCATATATTCTTAAAATAACTCACATTGTTACCAATTTGCAGCTCACAAAATGCAGTTTACCAGGATGGAGGCTGGACAGGTCTTGGAAGTATAATTATAAGAGAAAAACAAGGTGGTGGTAATTATACTGAGTGGTTCCTTGCGAAGGATCATCTGCAAGTGGGTGACATGGTACGATCTAGAAAGTTACCAAACTCGTGCAAACCTGAAAACATGGATGTACCGGAGGGAAGTGTAGTTGGTTTAGAACGTGACACAGATCGCGATGGACTTGTTTTGGTGAGGATGCATGGACTTCATGACCCAATAAGAGTTCATGCTTCTACATTAGAACGTGTGACATTTGGATTGGCTGCAGGAGATTGGGTGCTCTTGAAGAAAGAAGACAAGAGGCATTCGCCCGTGGGTATACTTCACTCCATTGACCGTGATGGAAATGTAGCAGTTGGATTTATAGGACTCGAGACTCTTTGGAAAGGCAATTACTCAGAGCTCGAAATGGCAAAACCTTACTGTGTAGGGCAGTTCATAAGGCTGAGATCAAATGTTTTCAGCCCTCGTTTTGAATGGCCGTGGAGAAGATGTGGTGAGTGGGCAGCGGGCAGAATTTGTCAGATACTTCCAAATGGCTGCCTTGTGATCGAGTTCCCAGGTAGATTGACACTCAGTAATGAAAACAGAAGCTTCTTGGCTGATCCGGCTGAAGTTGAACTCGTGTCATTCGACACTTGTCCAGGCTTGGTGAAGAAGTATCAACATCTTGAGGATTTTCACTGGGCGGTCAGACCATTACTGATAGCATTGGGTCTGTTTACTGCCATGAAGCTAGGGCTTCGTGTTGGGAGGAAATTGGGGAGGTCCAAGGTGAAGAAGGGACATAATCCGGCCATACAAAATGATGGTCAACATGTCGATGGCCAAACTGGTGAGAACACAGCATGGCGTCCTCCAAAAGTCGCAAACATTTTCAGATAAGGTGATACAGAAACTGAGTTGCCATGATTTGAAAACTTGGCCTGTTATGGAAAGCTGTAGATTTCGCTGAAATCTTGTCAAAATTTGGAAAGCTCTTTCGTTATTGTAAACAGATGGTCGTTCTCGAAAGTACTCTGTCTACAACATGCATGTACGTACAATGATCTTGTGTATATAACATACATTCATCTTCTATGATCTTCTGTATGTTGTCCATTATGTTTATGTTAATATCCGTGTGTTATTATTTCGAGGGAAACCTGCAACATGATATATGTAAGTTACCCTACATGTACAGGGTACATTGCCAGGGAGACAATTGGCTGGAACAAAAAAGTTACGCTGCTTGGACAGGGTTTGGGAACAGAGTTGTTGATAGGTGCTGTGTTGGCAACACCTGTGTTGTTCCTTTCTTTCTTTTTCAAACTTTTTAATGAAATGTTGACATGTGTCCCCTCGTTGTTAAATCTTGTCACCAACCTTGTTTGTGTAGTATAACTCGGAACAAAAAAAAGTGTGTCCGTGGCAACGTACAGGACAATTGTCAGGAGTATAGAGTTATGCTACATGTATATGGCATTTTGCCCTGTTATGACTAAGAGAAAGATGTTGGCTTGAGAACTCACTGCTCGACACCCCAACCTGAGGAGTACAACATATAATTGACATCTGTTTAGACATAACAAAACAAGACTCCTGGATAATCGCATTCCTCGAGCAGTCGAGCTGACGTTCACATGGCTTGAACTCTTGTCATCCCTTCATTCCACTGGAAAATGAAGATGGTACCTAACAAAACCGTTGACATCATTATGATCGCGTATTGCCCACCATTTGCTAAGGAAGTCCTCATTATTTTTTCATGGTTCCAAGTGCTCTTTAGTCTTTGAAGTAGCAATAGGACTCAAAGTCTCACCATCTTGTAATGAGCTTATGATACGTCTGGCATTACTGAGGTAAAAATGAGAGTAACCCCAAATTTTGTTGTGGAAGAATCAAAGATACCCAAAAAGGAAACGAAAAATCATCTGTTTCAAATATATCATGTCCACAATACAATCGAATATGCAGTATAGAAGATACAACCAACCAGTCTACATTCAGATAAAATACAACATGATGAACAAATATACCCAACCTACAGCAATAAACGGGTTAGATACAGATATATGCACTACTATCTAGTCAACAAATTAGACGTTACCTCTATTAGCTAGTGCTACCAACAATGCCGACCTCATCAACAAGCTGATCAGTCAAAGCCAAAAGTTGAGCAACTTCTGTTTTAACTTCGCCAGGACAATCATTGTTGTCGATCAAATTTATACCATTGAGCTCGAAAAACTTGGTATCATAATCAAATTCCATGCTCAAACTAGATTTATTTAGAAGCTCTCGACCCATTTCTCTGAGTTTATAAAGAGCACCAGTTGCAGCTCCAATCTCCAGTTGTGCTGCTTCCAATTGAAGTTCCTTAATTACTCGGTCCCCAACGGTCTTTCCACCCATTTTTTCTTGTGCCAAAGCATAAAGCTGTTTCAATTCATTACAATCTCCGATCATTTCTTCCTTCAGTTTTGTTAATTCCTGCTCTCTGGTGTCCAATTTGCCAAGAACCATATTTAGCTCCTCATCTTTAATGGTGAGGGCCCTTTGTGCCGCAAGAACTTCCATTGCCTTCGTTCTCAAACTTTCTTGGGTAAATTCAAGTTCAGTTCCAAGGTGTTTCTTCTGCCACTTAAAATTATCAGCTGACTTCTCCGGTGACAACAGGAGATTGGTATAATCATGTGCGCTCAAAGCACCATAGTTTTCATCCTTTACTGACAGAACCACTTTATTAGTCACCTCTACGATCTGTTCCAACACTGCTTCAGCTTCAGAGAATCTCTGTTTTGTATCATTTAGTTCATGTTGCAGTGCCTGACCACGTTCATCCTTTTCCTCCAGCATGGACATCGCTTGAATAAGCTGATTTTCTTTACTGTTCATAATTCTCCTCAGCTCATCTATCTCCCGGTTTTCTTCCTCCAGCATCTTCCTTGCACTTGAGAGTTCCAGATCTTTTTCTTCCAAGATAAGCTGACAGGAAATCAGCTCAGACTTCAAATGCTGGATCGCTAGTCTAGCTTCTACCAATTCCGACTCTTTGACCTGAAGAAGACTCTGTTTCTCTCCAAATTCATTACTCTTACGGTCTAGCCCCTCCTGGAGAGCTGACATTTCCTGAATTGCTTGTTGCAAGGAGGATCTCTCCATATTTATTTTCTTCTGTAACTCTCCAACAAGCTCTTTCTCCATGGATAAATCCCTTTCAAGGACCTTGTTTCGAGCTTCAGCAACCCTAAGTTTCACCCTCTCACTCTCCACTTCAATTTCCACATCTTTCAGACTCGTCACATAGGACATAACACATATCCTCTGCTCTTCAAGTTCAAGAAGCTTCTTTTCCAGTAGCTGTTCCTGATCTGCCATTTCCTTTCTAGAGGAGGCCAAACCTTTCTGAGATGAAACTAACTCAAACCTCACATCTGCAAGAAGCTTCTTCACTCCTCCAAACTCCGTAGTTTCATTTGCTTCCCCATAATGCTTAGATGTTTCCTCTACAAGCTTGTTCAATTCTTCCCGTGCCACTAGCCAATCCATTGCTTGTTTCTTCAAATTGCCCTCGGCAATTTTCATTTTCTCTGCTTCAATTTTCTGCATACTCGTGGAAACTTCTAGCTCTTCTTCTTTCTTTTGAATTGCTCTCTGGAGTTCTAGGATTTCGAATTCTTGTTTTTTCACAATACCATTTACTTCATCCAGGAGCTTGGTCTTGGATCTGAGTTCTGAATCGGCATCAGCAGCTTCCTCACTCTTCTTCGTTAATTTATTTTGCATTTTTACAGTTTTCTCTTCTTTCATAGATAGTGCAGATTGAGCAGCGGAAATCTCTTGATCCCTTTCCTTGAGACGAAGCCTAAGATCACCAATTTGCATAGCTTGCAAAGCTAAGCTTATATTAGCTTGCTTTAACTCATCTTCTAGCCTTTCCTGATTCAATCTAGCCGCTTCTATTTCTTCCTCCTGCCGCTCCAAGTCCTCTTTTGCACGATTTATTTCATTGTACTCCAACAATACCTTCCTTTCTGCATCTTGTAAATCTTCTTCTTTCTTCTTCAAGGCCAGCAGCGCAACCTGAAGATTGGATTCCAGCTTACTGAGATTTAAACCTAGCTCAGAAACTAGAGGTGACTGAGGATCTCGGCCTATCTGTTCCTCCAGTTTTTGTGTTTGCACAAGCCACCTCTCCAGAAGAATCCTAGCAGGTTCAGTTGCCCCATCGTCACTAATACTTGAGGACCTCCTGTTATTCAAGACTGATTTGATAATCCACAAGCATCGACTAGGATCCTGTCCTTTGTGCCCCGTCCCCATCAAAGACGCTGATCTCTTCTCGTTTAATTTGAGCCAAGAATAGCGCATCTGCAAAAACGATAGCTACAACATTAGACAATTCTTTATCAATCTTCTTTTATGGTAACAGCATTGAGTCTATAATATTGCTTTAGTTTTGTACTCATACAGATTAGACTTGCTACCAACTTAAAACAGCTCACTGAAAATCACCCGTCCCCATCAAAGACGCTGATCTCTTCTCGTTTAATTTGAGCCAAGAATAGCGCATCTGCAAAAACGATAGCTACAACATTATACAATTCTTTATCAATCTTCTTTTATGGTAACAGCATTGAGTCTATAATATTGCTTTAGTTTTGTACTCATACAGATTAGACTTGCTACCAACTTAAAACAGCTCACTGAAAATCATCAATGTGCATCATAAAAATATATTCATGTGCTTATAAAAATAAGGAAAACTGAACAGAAAACGTCAATCAAAGCTGAATTTAGGACCTTTTATCGGTCCACAAGATGATTAAGCAAACTATATACATGTCAAACTCTATACAGATATATTCATGTGCTTATGAAAGTTGCCTGCATTTATTCCCAATATGGGTGGGCAGATAAAAATATAAGAACAATATACATTGAAACACGAAAAAGAAGATAAATACCATCCCCTCATTGCTTACTAACATGTAGTTAGGACCATGTTGTGATTCCAGTCCTATCAAACTTGGAATGAATCAAGCAATATTATGAGCCATATATGTCAGGAAGAGTGTAAGGAAATTAAGGGAGATGGGGATTTTAGTCTTGCAATCAAATATGTGTTTAATGCAATTATATCCTAAAATATATAAATTATTAAATACTAGTATATAAAAAAGGAATAAGGGAATGAATTAATGAATCATTTATTCTAATTTACTTTATATATTGAACATACATAGAAGACAAACAATAAATTTTCCTATACATAGTAGCTCATGGGTATTTTATTAAATGATTGGCTACACATTATGTGTATCATACATAAATAGATACCATGAATATATAACTGAGCGATCAAATATTTTTAAAAAGGGAAAATTGTTGATGTAGGACAATCTTATTCCAAATAGAATTGATTTAATCTCTTTTTTCTTCTTCTTTCTTATTTAGAATAAGATTTCTATTTCCTTTCTTATTTAGAATCTAATTTCTTCTTTCTTTCTCATTTAGAATAGGATTTCTTCTTCTTTCATGATTAGGATAGGATTTCTTCTTTCTTTTATATTAGAATTCTACTTTTCTTTCCCTTTAAGATTTCAGTTTAGTTCCCTTATATTAGTAAGATTAGAGAATTATTTTGCCTATATAAACAAAGGCTTTCTACACTTTTCAATAATCAGTTCAATCAATTCAATACAATAAATTTAGTCCCTACATAATTTTTAGTTTTCAAATTTTATTCATGTTTCAAGAATTTCAATTTCGCGTCTGCACAAACATTGATATTAGAGCAAGGTTTATCCAGCTGATGGCTACCTATGGTGGTAGTGATACGCATCCTCATCTCATGGCGATGATCAGAGAATTGCAAAATTAACCTTGATCTAGAATTTGGAATGAAGGATGGATATGTTTGAAGATACAACTAATAAGAATTTGCAAACTTTAACTGTTATGAGTATTGGTTGCTTCAACAAGTCTAGAATACGACAACATGTGGCTAGAGAATTTCCTCGAATCCCAACTAAGTTTGAATACTCAAAAGCTATTAAGGATTTTGTGAAAATATGTCGAAGGGACAAATTTTTAGAACACAATGTATCATCAACCACAAATTATGCAACGCGATAATAGATCATGAGAGTACTAATAACACAGTATCCAAAGCATTTGTGAAAGCTTTACATTTAAAAACTGAAAAATACTCATCTTGCTATCAAATTCTATTAGTTAAAAGTGGGTGAGAAATTCAAAATCTGGAAATACGTAAAATTTTACTTTCTATTGGAAGTACTACAAAGATGAGGTTTGTGTATAACGTTTTATAAATAGATCATTGTCATATACTG